TNTTAGTAGACCCTAAATCAATATATAATTTTTCGATTGTAGAGACAGGCTCGTTCGTGTTACAGAGCAATCGAAAATCGCATCAATGGTATTTTTTCTTTCATTTTTAAGTTGAATGGTTCTTTTTGTTTTGCTAAACTTTAGTTGAATGATTTTTTTTTTATTCTAATGTCCAATTTATAACAAATTATTTTGAATATATAACATAATAATTTATAATAATATTATTTTATATATATATATATATAATTAAAAAAAAAAAACATGTGTCCGGCCGGTCGGACCGGTCACGACCGGCCGTCGGGGCCGGACGCCATTTGGGCCGTCCGGTTTCGGCGGCCGGACAAATTTTTTTTTTTTTTTTTACTTTTTAGAAAAAAATGGCAGGGGCAAAAATGTCCAAAAGGGGCGGTACATAGTAATAAGGGAGGCGGTAAATAGTAATGCCATTTTTTTTTCTATTTGTCTTGCTGGCTAAATAGCGAAATAGTTTTCATGATAAGTAGGTCAACTTGGAAAAAAAGAATTATGAGAATTAGACCTAGAAGCTTTCTAGACTTTAGATACTAGCTAATAAGTAAATACTGATTTAATTAACATATATAATTGTAGTTTAACATATAACTAGTACAATTCCCGTGTATTACACGAGTGTTGAATTAGAAAAATTTTGTAAAAAATATTAAATTTTTTATTTTTTTTAAAAAACTACAATAATTTAATTTTATATAAAACATTACTTTGGGTTTTAGTTAAATTGTCAAATTATATTTTTTTAACCATAATAATTAAACACCCGTACATTAAATGAAAATGTCAACCCGTGTTGAATTTTTTACTTATATCATTTAAAAATATCGATATTATTTAGTATTACATAAGTACAAAATATATATTTTAAATAAATAGAAATAATATGGTGATATGTATATGCATAAGTGTAGATTATGTTTATTTAATATTAAAAAAATAGATTAATTTTTTTACTTAATTAGATGCCTGATACACCAACTATCATATCAGTCGTGCTTCAAAGTTTTTAACTTTATATGTAATTTTAAAATTTAGATAAATAATTATTTATTTTTATTAGATTGACAACATAACAATTAGATTTGAAATAAATATCATTTTTAAAAGTTTACATACCAAATTCTATTACTTTATAATATAATTTATAGTTTTATTTTATATAATTTAATTTAGTTTGATAAATAAATTTAAATTTTATTTATAAGGATATATATTACTGTTTTGTATTTTATATATATAATATGGATATCAAATCGAAATAACAAAATCTGATTAATTTGATATATTATATATGTAAAACCGATAAGAAATACAAAAGTTATCAATTTTTAAAGTAGTTTATGATAACTAATTGCAGAATTAAAGAAGGAAAAAAATCAATCATGGATTTAGTGTTATAAAAAATATTAATTTATATCCAAACCTACCTCCAAGCATGAGTTTTTGCCAAATAGGATTCCGAAGCATGAGATTTTGCCACGTAGGCTCAGCGCATTCTGAAATTATACATAGAGGGAATTAACTGAACTAGTAAATAGTAAACAACTTATTTAACTAATAATATATTTTCCTGTTAATTAAATTAGTTGGTTGTGTGGAAGTATCATACATTTGCCTACAATGCTTGCTTAGTTTTTGTTATTCGGCATGAAACTTTGTAGTTTTTGTAATATATTTCAATGGAATTCCAATAGATATTCTAATATTATAATTTTCGTAAGAAAATTTTTAATTGATTCCATAGGAAATTACAACCAAAAAAATTTGTTAGAATGAGTTTTTCATTTTAATTTTACTTTGGATTTTGACTTTCAATCGTAGATTTTCCAATAGTTGAAATATGAGTGAAAATTAAAATTACAACGAATATTGTATATTCCAAACAAAATTAAAATTAAAAACTGCTGAAAAATAGTTTTTGGAATATCAAAATCCATATTTTAATAATTTTAACATAATTATCTGGTGTGGTTGTATAGAATAAAAAAAATACCCTATACACTAAACTCTTCCCTTTTTATTACATAATTACACCCCTCATATAATTATTAGCGAAATAACTAGAGTTGTTATATTTATTTCCACATATGTCAGAAAAGTTATTAAAAATAGATTAGCTTGATTAATCACTAATTAGTGTGAATTGGAGAAAGTGTCAGTTTTTCCTTAAAACGTATTCTTATTTGTATAGTAATAAAATCTCTCTCTCTCTCTCTCATACCTCATTAACAACCCACTAGTTCAACATATTTCCTCACCGTAACTGC